CAAAAGAAAAGGTCCAAACGTTTTTAGGAGCTCAGCCTCTGGGCCTGAATCTGGCCCTGGCCCTAGAAGCGTGTACCTGGCCACAAAACGGACAACAGTACACCCGTTAGAAAAACAGCAGCAAATAAATAAAATAAAGACTATAAAAATAATCTAAAGCTGGCGTTTTTCTGATGCAGGCCCAAGTAAAAATGCCATAGGGCCTTCAGGTTGCGGTGACGCGACCTGGGGGCCCTATTCCAACCTCGGGTCCCGTGAGGGGCCCGTGTGGTAGGCTTTCAGCATGTAACAGGTGGTTTAATTGCCTTTCACAAACGGAAACAATTGTTTTTCCAATTGTCCATGGAAAGAAAAGTGACGATGACAACGTGACAAGGAGGAAATACAATCGGAGTTTGATTTTCAGAGTTCCATTCAGAAAAAAAAACAAAGTGACAAGGGCGTGACAAGGAGGAAATGAGATGGAGGAGGAAGATGAGGAGATGGAGAAGGAGAGATGGAGGAGGAGGAGGAGGAGGAGGAGGAGGAGGAGGACGATGACGACGACGTGATAAGGAGGACGAGATACCATCACAGTTCGAACTTAGAATTTTCCATTACAAAGAAAGGCAAAAGTGACGAAGCCGTGATAAGGAGGATGGATGAGAAGTAGAGGAGGAGAGATGGAGAGATGGAGAAGGAAAGATGGACGAGGAGGGATGGAGGAGGAGGGATGGAGGAGGGGTGGAGGAGGAGGCCGAGGAGACATGGAGGATGACGACGACGACGACGCTGAGGAGATTCCAGCACAGTTTGAACTTCGAAAGTTTCCATTAAAAGAAAAGAAAGAAAAAGTGACGAGGCGGTGACAAGGAGGATGAGAGGTGGAGGAGGAGAGATGGAGGGATGGAGGAGAGGATATGGAGAGATGGAGGAGGAAAGATGGACTAGGAGGGATGGAGGAGGACGGCTAGGAAAGATGGACGAGGAAGGGTAGAGGAGGTGATACCGACACAAATCGAAGTTTGCACAATAAAAGGTGACGAGATCTTGACAAGGAGGAGGAGGAGGAGGACGAGGAGGACAGGAGGAGGTGGAAGAGGATGATAGATGCATGAGGAGGGGAGGCTGATGAGAGGTGAAGGAGGAAGTGACAAGGAGGAGGGGCGATGGAGGAGGGGACGAGGAGGAGGCGGAGGTGACGAGGAGAGTCCGAGATACTATCAAAGCTCCGAGTACAAGATCAGATACTATGGAAAATAAAGAAAAGGACAATACTGTGACGAGGAGGAGAAGAGATGGAGGAGGAGGACGGGGAGGAAGGGGAAGATGTGGAGGAGGAGGAGGAAGGGACGAGGAGGAGGCGGAGGTGACGAGGAGGAGGCGGCGATGACGAGGAGATAGTCCGAGATACTATCAAAGCTCCGAGTACAAGATCAGATACTATGGGAAAAAAAAGAGAAGGACAATACTGTGACGAGGAGGAGGAGGGGGAGGAAGGGGAAGATGTGGAGGAGGAGGAGGAGGAGGGGGAGGAGGGGGAGGAGGCGAGAGTGAGGAGGGGCAGGAGGGCTGGTGAAGACTCACCTTGATCGAGCGAGGACGCTGGAAGTTGGCGCTGGTGGTCTCTCCGGAGCTCAATGATGGTGGCTGAAGCAAGGGAAGGCCGGTGCTGCTCGCAACGAAGACCAAGGCGACAGACAATGGCGCTGCTTCCTTGTAGACGGTGGGCCTGCAATGACGAAGAGATGGCCGAGGAGGACAAAGAAATCCCCCCCCAAAAACGTTTCCAAGGCCCAAGAAAAATTCAAATTCGTTTCGGGCCACGATTGAGCGTGGCGCACTGAAATAAAATTTTGGCCCTAGTTTGATTTTTGCTGGAGGGGCGGAGCAGCGACGAACCAACACCGTGCAGGTCGTGCGCCACGCGGTCGGGTTGCGATTGCATGCCAATGGTCCGCGAATCAGCGCATGACATGCGCTTGCATGTATGGTAATTAGCAAATGGCCCCTACACCACAAATATGACAAACATACATTGAGAAATGGTCCAAAGATGGAAGAAAGAAATTTGACACCCAGCTACCCCTTCTATATGACTGAATTATACACGCATGTAGCTGTCAATGAACAGATGGCGAGTTCATATCCTTACGGGATCACAAGGGTACAATAATCATTGAATAATGTTAAGGAGGAGAAGAAGAAGAAGAAGAAGAAGAAGAAGAAGCAGAAGCAGCAGCAGCAGCAGCAGAAGAAGAAGAAGAAGAAGAAGAAGAAGAAGGGGAAGGAAAATAAAAATTGATGCCTGTTTTCCGACATCTCACCAACGCCATCCATACTGCCAAGTCTGAATGTGTAGGCTTCGAGAACAACTGGGCATCAGCGGCAAGAGTCTCCTGTCGTATTACGGATTGAAGAGTTGTGGGAGGAGTTTGAGCTGACGTCCCACAAAGGAGCGAGAATTGGTTGTCAGACCCTCAACAGCAGCGAAAATCCAGAGGACTGTCATGGCAGTGTCAGTGACGGCAGCAATCTGCAGAAAAGAAGTGGTCTGAGCGTGTTCAGTTTTCAAGATGAAGATGGAGAAGATAGTCTGCCCAGACATGAACCAAGGCCATCTTTGAAGAGGTGGATGCGCTGCCGTCGTTTTTACCGACCCTCTGAGACTGTGTTTACCACCACACATCCAAATGAGCTCTATCTCTCCAACAAGTTCATGCAGTTTGAGGTAAAGGCGGTGCTCTCTTCTTCCTTGTGCCCTACCGCTGCTCTACCTGCGGTCTTCCAGACTCTCCTTCTCTTCCTTTGTTTAATGAATGTGTCTGTCTTTTCCTTACCATTTTTTCACTCTCTCTACCATTGTTTTTCCCTCTCTCTCTCTCTCTCTCTCTCTCTCTCTCACACACACACACACACACACACACACACACACGCACACACAAGCACACACACACACACACACACACACACTCACACTAGCGAGCTGTTCTCTCTTTTGTGGTTGGATATGTCTTGTTGGTTTTGTTGATTATACACGGCCTAATTCTTTGCCCTGCTTTAGAGCATGGACTGTTTGGATGTTTACGGGTGGCCACGAGTTCTCTTTGGGGGGAATGTATGTTTTGTGGGCCGGTGTGGAAGGCTTTCCCAGTTTTTTCGGACCCTTAGCAGGGGGGATCGGTGCGTTCTTGCTGGAGGAGTCTTCTGTCTTAGGTAAGTTGTCTTTTATCTTCTTCCACCTCTTTGGCAGTGATGTGAGTGTGTAGTTTGAGATGAATGTCGGGAATGCCAATGCTGTTATATTTGTTTGTTTTTGATAAATGAGTTTTTGGTTTCGTGGGCCGATGCGGAAGGCTCTCTAAGTTTTTTCGGACCTTCGAGGGGGTCGGGTCAGTGCCTACTTGCTGGAGTAGTGTTACATGCTGCGCCTGCACACGGGCCCCATTTGAGGGGCCCAAATGGGGCCCGACGGTTGCTGAGGGGCCCCCAGGCCGCATGCTATACAGCATGCGCCCTGGAGGCCCATGGCGGCCTTTCAGGCCGCAGGTACATGAGAGGCAGCGCACTTATTTCAAGTTATTTGTTTATTTATTTATTTATTTATTGGTGTGTGTGCGCGCTGTCCTATTTTTGACTGTTCAGTCACCGTTTCGGACTTGCAGTCCCCAAGGCACGATCTACCTTTGGACTGGGTACACCAGAGGCAGGGCCTAAAGAGGCCAGGCGCGTTTTTGCACCTTGCTGCATCAGCAGCACAGTCTGGACGCCCGGTAGGGCCCCAGACTGGCTGGGCCGTTTTGAGGCCAGCACCAGGCAGGCCCTGCCTCGCCCAGCGCTACATATAACTGGGCAGTGGCTGGGCACACACACAATTCTGGTAGCTCACTTCTCGAGCGACACGCTGCTGGACCAGCGCTGCTTCTCAGCGCTGTGCAAAGGGATAGAGGTAGAAGCGTAGGTAGGAGAGGGTGGAGGCCATACCTGCAGACGGCGGACTTACCTGGCGCCATAGCTGGGACTCCGCGCACGACCTGCACAGGACAACGACAAGACGACAGTCAGTGGACGGCGGCATTTCCTGCAGGTGAGACAGTAGGGAAGACAACATTTTTCTTCCTTCGTCTCCCCTCGATCTCATCTCTCTCCTCCCTATTTCCTCTCCTCCTTCATCTTCTTCTTCTTCAGATACGAGAGTGCGAGAGGTTACAGGCAGAGGATACAGCCGGAGGCTACAGTGTGCATCGCGCCCAGGATTGGATTTGGCATTTCTGAGGCAGACATTGATTGGACACCGGCAACGGACTATTTTTGGACTTCGCTATTGCGATCTTGGTCTTTTGCCTTGCCTCCATCTTCGTCTCTCCTCTCCCCCCATCTCTCATCTGTTGTAACTCCCCATGTGCGTGTACAAGGAGGGACCTTTCTTCTTGTCTGCGGTCCCCCCCCTGGTCCTCCTCTCACATGTGTGATGTATGATGGGATGTCGTGTCAGTCCCGGTCAGGTGAGGACTTATATCAAAGTCTTCCGCTGCGCTATTTTGTGCCATTTTGCATGTGTCAGGGTGTACATTGCCTGTTGATGCTTCACTAACATTGCATTGTCCATTCAGTCCTTTTCATCACATTGCGGATCCTTGGCTGTGCATACATTGCCCAACTGGGCATGTATCAAGTAGTCTTCTGTCTTAGGTAAGTTGCCTTCTGCCCTCCATCCCCTTATGGTTTGAAATATATATGTATTCATATGTATATATGCAAGTGTGCCGCTTTGGCGGCAGACAGTTGTGTGGGCACTTGGCTCTGAACCACACAAACGTGGTCGACCCTGCCTTTTTTTTTTTTTTTTTTTTTTTGTTTGTTTGTTTGTTTAACACGCCCCCACCAGTGTTAGTGGTGCTGATAAGAGCAGACACCACTAGCACCTGGGGCGAGGCTCCATCTATTGGTGGGGAGCATCACCTGCTGGGAAACGGGCCCAGCGTCCCATATACAGATTGAATTTGATTCCTGCCAGCATTGATTACCCTGACCTCCAGGGGATTGACTGAGCAGGAGGCAGGGAAGGGGGGGACCTCTTCACCTTGGAACCGGCGCCAGATACGTATTGCTACGCACAAGTTCCTCCCTCCCCCCTCGAGCCCCAGTCCTTTTTGTTGCTGGAAACCGGGTCCAGCGTCCCTTTGAGTACGTCTTTCTTACAGAAGGATCAGCCGAGAAAGCAGGATTTCGAAACCAGGAGGAAAAGGACTGATTCTACTATTGCCACCGTGGCTAAAAGCTGATTCTTCCCTCCCCCCCGTGGCTCAAAAGCTGATTCTTTCCTCCCTCCTCTGGCCCCGCACTCTTGCACCCAGCCCTTGTTGTGCCATCGCTGTTCTGTCGCGTCGATCCGCTGACCCGCTTACTCTGCTCCGTACAATTGCATGTCCACCATTGCCAACTGATGAGGCGGAAAGGGGTCGGGGAAGTCTGAGGGTGGTCGCAGTGGGACTCGTTGGTCCACTTTGGTCCATTCCTTGAAGCCTATGTTGTAGTCCCTTCTGAACTGTTCCCGTTCCTGCCCCTGCGTTTGCCCCTGCGTTTGTCCTCCCTCCCATTGGATGTGTGCGATCCAGCCCCCCTGTTCGCTTCGCAGCCAGTCCCTTGAGAATTGGTTGATTGCTTGTGTGATGTCTTTTTTTGCGTGGAGCCTGTCCAGTTGGCTTTTAACCTTTTGCCACCGTGTAAGGAGTTCTTGATTGATAAATTGTCTGATCATGTCCGTCACTTCCTCCCCTTCTACTCGAACCCCTTCCATGGACAGTATGCAGCGTTTTCTCCATAGTGCCCAGATAATGGCTCTCCTTCCTATTTTAAACATGTTGTTCTCGAAGTCGCTGTCTGAGGGGGAGGTCCATGCTTTGCCGAGCAGCGCCCTCCAATCCCATGGCCAGGTGGAATCAGTTTCAAGCAGGCTCCATATCCTGTCCCACCATCGCCATGTTAGCACCGCCCCCGGGCACTGCAGGAAGATATGTTCTACGGTTTCGGGGATCTTTCGAGACGGGAAGGCTGTGTGGCAGGATTTACACCATGGCAGTGCCAAGCCTTTCTGTTCTAGATACGTGCGGTCTACCAGCCAGCTGTTAGTGGGAAGGCAGCGGTGCTCTATCTGCCATTGCAGGGAAGCGAACTTTGCCGGTTTAGCTCTCGTGGTTGTAAACCATCGGATGGGGCGAAGGGTTCCTTGTCCCACATTCAGATGGGCCTGCCAGCGGGCCCTCACGATATCTCTCTCAAGTTCACCCTTGGGCGCAGCAGCCGGTATGTGTCCTTCACGGACAGGCTGAGCAGCTGCCTATCTGAAGTTTGTGGCGACCTATGTACTGGCTTCCAATGCCACTCCCCCGGGTCGAACGGCAGGTCTACGAGCGGGATTTCTGGGCGAAACACTATCCATTCATCTTTTTGCGTCAACACCCGGATCTTGTATAATTCCTTGTTCTTGCACCACTTCACCTCCTTCGGGGTATGCCTAGAGAGGACATTATCCTTATTCTTGTGGAAGAGGCTGATCTGAGACTCATCGGACCGTACCTCTACTACCTTACCCACACTCTCATTGTCCCCCAGGATAGCCACCCAGTCCCCTTGTGTCAATCGCGGTCCCCTGCTCAGAATGCGCGCCCAATTTAGGGGGGTCGCAAAATCAATTCTTCGAATCTTTCCAGGTTTCGTTCGACATCGTGACAGTACCTCATCGTGGTTCTCAGTTGCGAAGACGTTTTCCAGTTTTTGTTTGTTGGGTCCCATATATCCTTAATTCTAACTATACCCTTCCTAACCCAGCTGCTCCATGGAGAGTCCGAGCTGTGGTACACCCTCCCATGCCTATCCGTGATGTTCCTATTGCCAAAGAGGGGTTGGCGCATCACCTCTTCCCAGGTGTTTGGCGAGGTTTTCTCTGGCAGCGGCAGCTGGCGCCAGGCCTTTAGAATACAGGGCCAGAAGTCATCTCTGGCCAGGTCCCTCCATGCTTCATCCCGACTCGAGATCCTGGCAGACTGGGGCCATCGCGGTATGGACCAGTAACGGTCTTCTATCCAGACCAGAGGGTGTACCCCCCGCGGTGCCTGCGGGGCTAACCTGGCAATCTGTTCCAGCGCCAGGGAAAGCCATGGGAGATCTGGCGTGAACACCATTCTTCTCACCCACTGTATCAGCAGTGCCGTCACCTGGATATCTGGGTCCAAAATTCCCAAGCCCCCTTTATCTTTAGGCTGGATAACTGATGACCATGCCATCCGACTGATGGCATTCGGAAACCCGTTGTTGCTTCTGCACAACAGGGTAGTTACCTGCCTTTTAAGGGATTTAACCGCTTCTTTACTGAGGGCCCAGATTGCAGATTTGTACCATAGAGCAGCCAGTGCTGTGTTGTTAATTGCCAATGCCCTGCCTATTAGAGATGTGTGTTTGTCGTTCCACTGGGTTAATTTCTCCAGCGCCGGTTTGAGGATCCAGTCGTCGTTGGAAGCAGGTCTTCCCAACGCTGTCAAGACGATTCCCAACACTCTAACCGAAGCCTCTTGCGGTAGCCACTTAACCCGTGGTAACTCTGGGGGTCGCACCCCTTGATGGTGGATCCACCACCCCAGTGTTTTGTTGCCCCAGTTTCTAGTCATGTCAGAGACCGCCGTAAACCGCTCTAGCAGTTGCCTAATCTTTTCCATGTTCTCGAGGGTGGCGTCCACCAGTATAGTCAGGTCATCTGCGAACATCGAACAGACCGAGATTGCTTCCTCCGGGATGGCGGAGATTTGGAGTTTGGTAAGATCCTTGTTGGCCCGGAGGTTTGCAGCCAATGCCTCCATCACAATTATGAAGAGGAAAGGGGCCACCGGGTCTCCTTGTCGGACTGATCGTTGCAGCGAGATCACCGGTGCTAGGCGGCCGTTTATCTGGACAGTCGTGGTAGCATTGAAGTGCAGAATCCCAATCCAGTGCCGAAAAGACGGGCCAATGTTCATTTTTTCCATACATTTATCTAAAAAAAGCCAGTCCACATGGTCGTATGCTTTTTCAAAATCAATAAATACCACGGTTGCATTGTGTTTATCTTGTCTAGTTAGCTTGAGAAGTTCGTTGATCAGCAAAATGTTGTCTTAAATCCTGCGCCCTTTAACAAATCCCGTCTGCGTCGGGTGAATGAGTTCATCAAGGACTGGGATCAGGCGGTTTGCCAATGCTTTCGCCAACATTTTATAAATGATCGTAAGCAGGGTTCTTGGTCGGTAGTTTCTGATGTCCAGTTTGTCTCCTTTTTTGTGCAGCAGAGTAAGGACACCTTGCCCAA